CAGCCAAAAAAAGGCTTTTTCACATCACCCACGCCTTCACTTGTTGCGCTGGCTGCACACAGTCATGGCTCAGGCGCATGGATTTGTTAAAGTGTTTTCCTTCTTGTTAGGGGCAATGGCACTCCTTTGTGTTATCAAGACAGGACAAAGAAAAAACGTTATTTCCTTTTTTACTACAAATAGCTAACTAGTTATTAACCTAGGTAAGTTGGATTTTTTTACTAGCAAAGTTAGTTAACTAGTTATGTAAACCAGCTAACTTGAATGTAAGTTCTATAGAAGTTAACATACTTAGATAAATTTTATGTAACTATGTTTAATGGATAGAGAGTTTATAGAGTTTATATCTAGTTATAGGGTCTTATAATGCTTTATACCTATTTTATAGTTAGCTTATAGGTAGCTTATATTTTTGATAACTGTCATAACTCATTAGCAAGCCCACGGTCTATCTAAGTGGGACATTGAGTTCCCTACGACCCCACACGTGGAAGGATCTGATCGACTTCCTGGAGTACCTGATGAAGCTGTTGCAATTGTAGTTGTTCTACATCGGCTTGCTTGCCTATGAGCTTCCTCCATTTGACGGCGTTTGTCAGCTCTTGTGGATCGATGAGCTTGGACCTCTTGGCTGCAATCTCAGGTGGCAGGACTGCTGGTGCACGGACAAGTCGAATCCGCTTCTAGGCATTTCCTAGGACCTTCTGCATGGCCTGCTCACTTTGAGGTTTGCGCGCATGAGTCTTGGATTCGACATCTGTTGATGGTCTCTTATGGACCACGAGCGCTTCTGCTGCACCGTGCTTACACAGGGTCTGTGCAACTTCCTGGGATATCGTTCGGAGAACTGCGTGCGGGTCAGAGCGGCTCCATTCACATATGTCTGTCCTTCGAGGTCCTGATGCTCATGATCTTTTTTACAATTGAAACCATGCAGCAACTTAAACACACTGGTGGATGACTGACGTCAAAATGGTCACGCTCTTCTTCATTAATTTGTTATTTATGGGGTCTCGGAGTTCTCCGACCCGACACATGTCACACTCGGCAAGCTGACAATGTTGCATGAGTTCGGCAAGCGTGGGCAAGCGAAACATCATGGATCTTGTTGGCCGTTCCCAGTGGAAACGATTGTTTCTCTCCTGTCCTTTGATGCCTGTACAACACAATTCCGAGTACTACTTGTTTCAACAAACAAATCATATCGAGCGGCGCTGTAGTAGGCATAGTGTTCTTCTGACTGGGTGGCATTCAGGGACGACCGTGACGACCATGGACCACATTGGGGACTAAACCAGACATGCTGTGGCTCATGCAACGTCAGGGCTTGAAACAACCTTGCTCGGCCGGCAGTTGCCATCAAATCACCATTCTCTTTGATAAACCGTTGACTCTGGCTTCCCAGGTTCTGGACTTGTTCGCTTAGTTGGGATTGTGGTTCACAACACATTTCAAATAACTGCGTTCTCCTTGGACCTATTCTTTGAGAGTTTGACTGAACCTGTTCCAATTCGTGAGAGATCTCGAACAAGTCGGTAGAGCGTTTGTCGTTCTGATGGTGTTTCTGACAGCACTCGACGCTCTGGTGACTTGGCAACGGCATCGTCCAGCTGCAGGGCGGGTGAGATTTCACTCATGGCTCCGTGGGCATCTGACTGCGGACCTGTTGTCCTTGCAGATGAACGATTACCTGCGTCAGCGCTCCTTCCAGGCCACCCTGCGCTGCTGCATCTTCCTCGCTGCGGTCCTCCTCGGGTCGGGCACTGCTGGGCTGGACATACGCCCCACAGATTGACTGCCATGGATCGTCTCCTGGCGTCCTCTTCGACCCGGGGGCGGTATCCGACTCCAAGGCGCTACTCGGCTTTTGCTCTCTGGAACCCATGACATCTGCGGTCCTCGCTCAGATCGCCCATCTCTGCTTCGGTCTGGCCCACTGCGCTCGTTGCAGGCGACTGATCAGGCTTTGCTTTTCGGCCATGGTGATCCGGAGGTGTCAATCGAGGCGACTCGGCGTTGCGTGACGTCTTGGGCCGAATGCGCCATTCTTTGCTGGAGTGACAACTGTTGCACAAACGACCCCGCGTCTGCTTGGACGGCATGACTGTCTGACTATTCTTCTTTCTGGACTATATCTTTCACATGATTGGATTGCAGCGTTGATTGATCGGTCGTATCGATGGCGGCCCTCCGAGCTGCTGTTTCTGTTTCCATGGTGTCGGCCAAAAATGTCTCTGTCTTGGTCGGACGCGCTGAGCGTTCCGAAGCTTGTGCGCTTGTGATTAGTGCATTTACACCGAGGAGAAATAGGCCTTTGTCGGTCAGAGTCAATGGCACTGCCTCCTTGAGCAGTGGGCTGGTTAACAGCTTGTGACCACAATCAATGAATCTGTGCCTGCAAAACCCCCATGAGCGTGTTGGATAACAAAAACTATGGCTACCTTTAGCCACACTTGACCGATCGGGAGAACGAGGGCACGATTGCTTTGCAAGGCCCCTTGATTTCCAAACCGGAAGACCACTTGGCAGGCACAGCGCTTCACTTGCTTACGAATGTCGGGACTCAGATTGGCGAGCAGCTCTGACACATGATCACTCCCTATCACAGTCTTGGTTGCACCCAGGTCAACAACTGTTGACTCCATATGACTATGTGTGACAAACAAACGCGACTGTTCTCCTACTGGATCATGTGATAATTCGCCCTTGAGCTGTCGGGCGGCATCGATCTCAGACTTTGGAGGGCTTGACCAATCAGTCCTGCTTCCGCGGGACAGGTTGGCGACCCCATGCGCGAGTCTTCTTTTGAGGTCTTGTAACTCACTATTCCCTTGGTTTTCCAAACATGCAAACATACATAGATTGAATTCAGTCCGAGTTGCGTCAAGTTTGGGCTCACTCACTTGTGGCAGGCACAGGAATTCCAGAGGAAGGGTGTTCTCAGTCTCGGTGGTGACTGTCATAGTTGCAGCCGATGATCCTGCCGTGGTTGCGGTGCTGTTGACTGAGCGTTGCTATATGAGCATTCAGCCGGCCAGTGACCTTTCCGCCCACATGCCCTGCACGTAGACCCTTGAAGGACGAGGACTTGGCTTTTCCTTTCCCCTTGACCTTGCCCTTGGATCCACTTGATAACCCTCTGTTGCGAAACTTCTCGCCCAGCCTCCGCCTTGCGCAGTGTAGGAGCTGAAAGCGGTGGCAAGGTCTGGGTCCTGTTGGAGCACCTCTTGAGCAGCACTCTCGATATCTGCCACTAACACGGCATCGGGGCCGGGGCCCCCTTCGTCGTTCATGGCGTCGATGAAAGTCTCTTCACTGTCATCGTGCATTGCGAACACATGATCTGGTTCGCCGGTTGCTTCACTCTCACCGAGGTCCTCTTCGGTAGCGAGAATGGTCTGGTTGTCATAGAGCTTGTTCTTGGTTTGTCTTTTGTTGCCGGTGACGTCAGCAAAGAACTGCGCCCCGAGCATCCTGATGGCTTCGGCCACCTTGGTCACGGCCAAGGAGCCTTCGAGCGAGTTGTCCGCGTCAAGGATCACCCGTTTCTTCTCTTCTGGGGACAAAGTGGACCCCTGAGCAAGATGAAGGCTTGGAGATCGGCTACCTTGGTGTTGCGGGCAATCAGCTTGCTCCAAAGGATGTCGGCCCTTGCAATGTAGCTGTCACCTGTTTCGTCAGCGTGTTGCTGTCAGTGATATAGTGCCTGCTCTGCGTCGAAGTAGCGACATTCGAGGCCAGACTTATATACCCAGTGTCCACCCAAAATGGTGATGATCTGTTTGAGACCTTTCTCATCGCCAGCGCAGAGCTCGGTTGCGTGTAGTTGTAACTTTTGGAACGCGCTGCCTTGCGAGTTCAAGATCACCCTTATAATCAGCTCATTGAATCGATCTACGACCGCCAACAATTCCAACCTTTGTTGGACACCTGTAGGTCGTCCTTGCTCGGGTCGAAGGTCAGTACCAACGGTGATAGCGTGTTCTGACCCACGTTGCCTGCACCTCCACTTGATGCTTCCGCCATGCTCTCCAGCTGGATGCTCTCCGTCCCCGCTCAGGCTGGACCGCCGGTCAAATTGACCGCCCTGAGTGGTTCAGGAGAGCTCCGCTCCAATGTAAAAGTGGTAGCCACTCCAAAACAACGCGCAACCGCTTCCCTGAAGCTTCAACGGCAAGCTTCCCTATTGCTCTGTTTCTTCCTCCGCCTGAACGATCTGTGTGACATCCTGCTCTCCTGGACACCGAGCTATAGCTCAAGCCAAATGAATGGCCACGATCCTATTACAGGTTCCCTGAACGGCGATGGCTGTGGGAAGTGACTCTGCTTTGGATCATGACGCTCATGGACATCTCGTATCATGGCTGATACAGTATATATATACTGCATCAAAAACAATATATATATACACACATTATATACTTTTTTGAATTTTTGGGGCGCCCACGAACCAGAACTTCAGCTCTAACGCTCATTCCACACGTTATTATCGCACGCGTTTCAGCCGCGATTTGCTACCATATGTTCAATTTTTCTGTTCCACAACCTACGAACTTCGATGTTTGACTATTGGTCCTCGGATTTTGCCAAGCCCCACACTGTATGGATGCCATTGTCCCAATCAGTTGATGCCATTGTCCCAATCAGACGCTTTTTCTCCTGTCGGTTGCCGTGCCCTCTCCTGGCTGTAGTTGGACAAACATCGGTGTAATTGCAGGCTTTTTGATGGAATGGACATTACACCACCACCTGTTGCTGCTATGGATTTATATAGATGTTCTAAGTTCTACTGTTCTACTTCTTGTAGATGGGCTCATATTTGGAAATGTTTCGGCCGCGCAAGACTTGGCTGACTTGGCAGGGCTACAGTGCCTCCACTCTCAGAGCAGTTTGAGATGATCAATATTGATTTCATTTTTGATTGCATCCTTAACAAATATGGAATAGTTTGAGCAACATTGGCTGCATTTGCGGTCAATTTGGGTGGCCTTGGCGCCCAGGTACTTGCTGCCATGGGTTTTGTATTTATTATGCGCCTGACCCGCAGCTGCCTATTTCACACGTAGTTCAATATGCGTTGTAGCGTTTGAATCGACGTTTTGCAAACCTGAGAGCAGGGCAAGACTAAAGCAAACTTCACAGGAATGAAACTGCTCGAAGGGGTGTGTTTCCGTCCTGTTTTTGAAGCGTGATTGAATGCAGTCTCTTGTGCCCAGGTTTGCGATCTCAAGCCTATTTCTTCCATTAACAAGGCTAGCTATGTAATGCAAGCAGGATGAGCATCCGCATGGCCGCATAGCGACCGCAAGATCAGCTGCAGGATTCGAAAGTATGGCGGCAACTGGAGGGGAACATTTCTGTTTATGGTTGGCGCTCTGACTTGGCTTCTTTTCTATGCAGCTTGGATTTGATAGCGCGTGGCCAAAAAACTTAGTGTGTGCATGAAGGGGCGTTTGGCAGGCCGTGTATGCCGTGTACCTCCAAGAGCCTTTCTGGACTGCCTAGTTTTTAACAAACGTTTTTTGCCAAGGACTTTTTCTTTTCAACCGTTGTTTGTTGAGTACTTTGCTGCAAAGTTGTTGCGTGTGATGTTGGAGGAATTTTCGAAATCTGAGCTGGCGCTTCCTGCTGGATCCCTAGAGAAGGTTCATGGTCCCACTGCAGAAGTGGTGAAAGATGCAAAGCAGCGTGTGGCAGATGTGCCTCGTCAGGTATGCGTCTTTGCTACAAACCTTGGCCTTGAACATTGGCCCACCTTTGCTGGCTTGCTTCTTGACTTTGTATATATATATATATGGACTGCGCTCACAAAGCCCTACTCAAAAAATATAGATAAACGTAAACTTTTCAGGCTGTAGATGAGTTTTTTAAAGTTTTCATTTAGAAGCGGGCCCCCAGCAGATGGTGACAGCAAGGCACGCTAGATTGGCGCTAGGTTGGCGCTAGGTTTCTTCATAACAGGATAGCAAGCAGGAAAAAGAAGAAACAAGCAGAGAGCAGGAAACAGAAGAAGCAAGACAAGAAAAAAGAAAAGCCAAGAAGAAGAAGAATAATGCGCAACAAGAAGAAGACAAGCAAACAGGAAAAATCCGCCCGCGCCGAAGGTGCTCAGGGCGTGATCATCCGGATGGCATCAACAACTGTAAGGTCAGGTTTACCTGGGGGGGGCCCTTTTCGATGCCAAAACCGTGAGTTTTTGATAGGTCACGACGGCGGTATTTAAAAAAATACTGTGTTTTACAGCGCGGAATGGACTAGTTACCGCGTGTGCCCGCCCGGAATCGGCAAGATAAACGTTAAAAAACATTAAGTTTTTTGACATTTGTTCTTCGATTTTCGGTTTCAAGACGTTCCTTTTTTTCATGTCTCTTGTCGGGCGGCCGGCGCACCAGATTTTGCGATTTCGGAGCTGTTTGGGCGACAGTTTTCGCCGTTTTTGCTGGGCAGAAGCATTGTTTTTTTGCAGTGTTTTTGTAAATTGTCTAGGCTTGACGTTTTTGCACAAAAACGTAAAAAACCTCGCAAATAGCAGCGTTTTTGGCGGCCACGTTGTTGAAAACGTCGCAAATTGCAGTGTTTTTTGACAGCAGGCTCAAACACACTGTAAATAGCAGTGTTTTGGGCCACGGCAAGCTCAAAAACATCGATATTTACAGTGTTCTCCCACGCAAAGCATAAAAACATTGAAAAATATGGTAAGAAAGTGGTGCTTTTTGCCACGGCAAGCTCAAAAACGTCGATATTTGCAGTGGTTTCTGCCTCACAGAACGTAAAAACACTGTAAAATACGGTACATAGTCGTGTTTTCGGCAACGTCTACGTCACAAACCTCGCTCCGTCAGTCACGGTGCTTTGCCGAGATGGAAGAATCAAAGGGGCCATTCAACCAGCGCGTCAAACTTCCAGCTGCAGGTTGCTTAACTGCTTGAGACTCCATCTCGTAAGTTACTCATACCTGCTCTTCAAAAAAAATACTGGGATGTTCAACTCTTAACTGACTCATTACTCTTCATACCTGCTTTTGACCTCTCAGGGCCCTCTGCTCTCTTGCTGCTGATTAGCAGACTGTGGCTTAATGGAGGGGTTTGTAGAAACGGATTATCTATTATTCTTTCGTGGCGGTGCAGGCGGACCTAGCCGCGGAGCGGCGTGAATAAGAATCTGACAGGGTAAAGAAATCGACGGAGATTTTTGCGCTAGGCTGGCGCTAGATCCGCGCTAGCACCGCGCTAGACGACGGTCCATTTCTTGACCATTTGCCCATCCAACGTCCAAATCTTTTGAGTCAGCTCTTACGTCCTTCCTAATTATGTCGTTCTGAAGATTTCTGAGAACAAAAAGTGGAAACAACTGCAGGAGTCCAGCAGCAGCAGCAGCAGCAGCAGCAACAGCTCCAGCATCTCAGCAGTCCGCGCTAGACACCTCTCACAGTTTTTGCAGTTCACACGCCTTCATGTTTAACATCCCTGTGGTTTGAGTGTGGTTGAAGTTTAAAGGAGATTTAGCAGCGGGCCCCCATGGAATTGCGACGAGTGCACCACTTTGGGAAAAGACTTTTTGGACACCAACCATATATATATATACATTGTATATATGTGGGCCTATGTGGGGGCACCTTCATGTATCATATAACAATCCCGTTCTTCACCGTGCCATAAGCTTGGCATGCAATTAAGACAGGTTAGCAATGTCTACTTGAGCAGCGCACTAGCGTAGGGTAGGCCGGCGGCGCGATATAGTAGTGGCCTAGTTGCCATCGTCGCTGCAGGGCGCCTGGTGTTTTCGTTGCTTTTGCGCTTTCTAAACTCACGCACTGCGCTTGAATGTGTTGACATGGGGTGCGTGGGGGGGGCGGGGCTGGGGCTAATTAGCGCCCCTGTTGCGTAGCGTACTATAAGCTTGGGTTTGCTGTCTTCCTGCGGGTTAGACTCGGTTAGACGCTTCTTTGGCTCAGTCAAGACATGCCGCAACCTTTGTTTCTTTTTCGGTGCGTTTCGTTGGTTCTTTTGTTGCCGTTGGTGGGTTTTGTCGACATAGACGAGGTACCCCCGGTTCTTTGACCTTGGCTTCGTGTTCACCCGGTTATCTGGACGACTTGACTTTAGTTTGGCGTTAAGTTCGTAGTGGAGATCCTTTGGTTGGTTTGACCATCGAAATAGTTTTGGACCAGGACCGTTGGCGTTTGGATTTTCAAGACTTGACGGACTACTCAGAATTTTTGCGGGGTTTGTGGCTAGCAGTTTGGGAACATCACTTGGAGACTGGTAAGGGTTTGTCACCTTTAGTTTCAGCGTTGTTGTTTTGTCCAAACGACTGTGACTCTTGCCGGGGGGCACCATGTCGATGCTACGCGAGCGTGCCTCTGTTGGGCGTACTTCGGAAGAGCTTAGTTGGCTGCCACGAACATCCAACAAAAAACAACGAAAGGGTGAAGGCCACGCACTCAGCAAAGCTGGAGACGCGCGTGTGGCAGTGGGTGTTTGGACGCGAGAAAATGCGTGGATCACCTCAGAAAAACGTTGAAGCGCTCTCCAAAATGTGGCGCACGAAGTAGGTATATAAGTAGTGTTTGGCAAGTGGTGAAAATAGGGTGCGCACGCGTGCCCCGCAGGGTGACTGGGGGCGTTATGACTGAATTGCCGACAAGACCAGGCGCCTGGCGGCGTCGTTCCCGCGTGGTTAGAAGGCCCCTAGGAAAGCGTGACAAGTCATTGCGCCCGAACTATCTCAACCAATAGATACATGAGGGAAATCACATTTTGATAGGTATTACAACTACTCCCACGCATGTTCGTGTTCTCCAAGGGAAGTGACCATGACCACGCCAGCTCACTGGTGGCAGAAAAGACTATCAGCCATTACCCTTACTTGCACTGCTTTGTATATATTTTTTGAGCTACAGGTCCTCTTGCTTGCTTGGAAGAACAGCTACGCTGTCACTTACACTTACTCCGTCCCTTTCATCAAGAGAAAGGATGTTGCTGTCCGTCCTGTACTAGTTTTCCCACTTGTTTTCCCTGACAGAAAGGGCGGTATACTATTACTACCTTGCTTCGACTTCAAGAAAGGACACGGGATTTGTTTCCTTCTGCGTCGACCCTTCCTACTTACCACCCCCTTTTCCTTCAAGATAATGCTGCTATTCTTTGTCGTCCGCACCGATGCAGCAGTAAGGAGGAACAGCAGTAGCATCCTTTGTCGTTTGCCTTCAAGAGAGGGTGGAGGAAGAGTAGTATAGGCGCACCATACTTTTGCGCTATTCTTGGTTTTCTCTCAGCAAAAACACTGAGGGGCAAGGATGAAGAAAGAGAACTAAGACTAACATCCAGTTGCTAACATCCAACTACTCTGACCAGGAGAAGTATAGTTGGGAGGAAGGCGCAGGGAACCAAAGTGATATCCTCAGTCCTACTCTTTTATGATTTGGGAGGGTGTGGCAGGAAAGTAGGAATCCGCGATGTCTCAATCTTGCAAACAAGTGGCAAGGAGGAACAGCAATATAGAATCTGTTGTTATTGATCAATCTCAAAATGGTGAGGAGGCAGAGTACTGACAACCCTTCTTTTCTTCGAACAGCCTCCAGGTATGGAGGACAATCAAGTATAGTAAGACCCATTGTCCCCTCATTCAGAAAAAATTTGGACGGAGTGAGAGTGGTGGCTGTCCATTTTCCAGTCAAGGAAAGCCGTAAGGCATAAGCAAGAAGGAATAGGAAGGTCTAAGAAAAACGAGAAACAATCTTGATCCTTGTTTGCTGGACAGGGGTTGTACGGCAGGGAAGCAGTTGAGAAGCAGTTGTATGTAGGGAGGAGGAAGCAACAAGAGGAAGGCTGAAGGAAAGCGAGGAACGCTCTTGCTGTCTGTTGATGTCAAAATCTATCAAAACGCAAAGTCTTTAGTTAGTGCTTTATTTCGTTTTGCGGAAGACATAAACAAATCAAACAGCTAGGAGCTCCCAAAAGAGCGAACGCTATTCAGCATTCTAAAAACGTTTCTTGCGGGCTACAAACTAGACGACGGATGGCATGGGAGCGTGGAAGGAGAGGTTATGTAGAAGAGGGTGCGCGTAGTAAGAGATGCACGTAAATACATTTGGCAGTGTATAGCTGCGTTTGCATGTAAGCTACAAGATGCTACAAGTATACGTGCAGCTGGCACGTTTCTAGAGTTGTTGCTACGGATATAGAAAGGTGAGACTTGTGGACACCGCCAATCATCCCGCTCCCCAGCGACACGCCGAACTACGACAATGACATGGACTCACGCAAACGCACTTCCACTGTGAACAGTGTAACATTAAGCATCGTGAGCGCGGCCAATCATCCTGCTCCCCAGCATCACGCCGAATTTATGACGATGGCGTGGACTTACGCAAACGCACTTTCCACTGTGGCCGCGCAAAACCGCATGGCGCAGCGACATCGCAGACAGATCTTTGCCACACAGTGCGCAACAGACCGGAGTCTAACAGTGTAACATGAAGCATCGCGGGCGACGCCAATCGCCCCCCCCCCTCCACGATACGGAGAATTTACACCAGCATGTTTGGCACGGACTCACGCAAGCGCGCTTTCCACCATGGCCGCGCAAAACCGCGCGACGAAGTGATATCAGAGATTTGACCACACAGTGCGCAACAGAGTAGATACGAGAATGTAACGTTAAGCGTGTTGGGCGCGGCCAATCATCCCGCTCCCCAGCGACACGCCGAATTTACGACAATGGCGCGGACTCATGCAAACGCACCACTGTGCCCGCGCACAATCGCATGGCGCCGCGACAACGCAGACGGAACGTGGCCACACAGTGCGCAAAAGACCGGAGTCTAACCGTGTAACATTAAGCATCGTGGGCGCCAATCATGCCACTCCTCAGCAACACGCCGAATTTACACCAGCGTGTTTGGCACGGACTCACACAAATGCGCTTTCCACCGTGGCCGCGCAAAACCGCGCGACACAGCGACATCACAGGCAGGACTTGGCCACACAGTGTGCAGCAGACTAGATACGACAATGTAACATTAATCATCGCAGGCGCTGCGCTACACTGGCGCTACCAAGTGAGTGGCCGGCTTTGACCCCGCATTGCATTTGAACTACCAAGTAAGTGGCCAGTTCTGATGCCACAGCTCCCAGAAGCTTTTTCAATGGCAGTTACACACTCTTAGGCGACCTCCAACTTCTTTTCGGCTGACAGTTATACCCTTTCGCTTTGGCAACAACCTCCACCTCCGCGTTCGACGGCAATTGCATTTTGGCCTCCACCTTTGTCTTTGTTGTTGGCGACAGCTTCACATTCTGGCAAGCCTCGCCTCTTGTTTCCCACAACAATTTGGCGACCTCCGCCTTCGTTTTCGGCGACAGTTACAACCTCCACCTCCGCTTTCGACGACAGCTAAACATTTTGGCAACCTCCACCCTTGTTTTCGGCGACAGTTTCACATTCTGGCGGGCTCCACCTCCGTTTTTGACGACAGTTACACATTTTAATTTAGCGACTTCCAGCTTCCGGCGTCATTTGCGATGACAGTTACGCACTTTGGCAACTGCCACTCTGTCTGTTCTCCGACGACTGACGTTATTTCCTTTTCCTTTCTGGCAATGAATGCACCATGGCTCGCTAGGCATGAGTGTGAGGTTGTGCTTTGCCGCTTCTGCTTCTGTCGGTGTCGGTGGAACGGAGGTCCTCGTTTCTTGCCAATCTTTCTTCTTGAAGGGCCTTCTGCTTGTCTCTTGTTTCCTTCTCTTCGCTTGGCTTTGTCCAGCGTTACCATGGATAGCGTAGCCAAACTCCTTCAGTCGCCCTCTCGCCATCGAACTTGCCTTTGGCTCCTTTTTTTCCTGTGTCCTTGCCATTGTCTTTGCTCTTCCACTCCTTGGCCCTTGTCTTTGCCTTTTTGTCCTTTGTCCACGTTGCCAACGTCCATGGCTTGTGGGCCATCGTTGCTGCTCTTGCTCAGCAGTCCCCGAGTCAATTCTTTGCTCTGCGAATTAGTCTTTGACGCATTTCCTCAGGACGGTCCCACTGCTTGAGCTCGATGTTCTTTTGGAGGTCTGAATGATAACCACTGCACACTTTGTAGGCCCAGGCATGGATCTTGTTGTTATCGTTGAGGTGGCGCAAACTCCCATGTCGCCCAGTTGTCTCCTTCGCGCTGAAGGTCTGTAGTCGATGAGGCCTCCGCCAGCCGGGCCTGCCAGCATAGCCGCCGCCATCGGCGTGGCGAAGCCCCCAAACTGGGGTCTGGCGTTGGTCCAGTTCCTCCATTGTGAGCACCCCGCACGTCCGGATGGGAGCGCCAGGTTCTTTGTCACCTAGTCTTACCGTGCTCAGGCTGCCACGGCCTTGCCCAGGTCCGTCGTCTTGCCTCGCCCTCTTTGCCTTGAGTTTACTTCAGACCTCCGCTACCACGCAGCGGCGTGGCGCGCCGCAGGGAGACCCTCTTGTCCTCCACGCTCACACGCACGGTATACGTGTATACACTATGTCATGTACTCAGCTGCAAATAACTACTGTAAAATCTCTTCCGTAACATCTTTGTTCATGTTTTGCACTGCACGAAAAAGCAAAAAGCCAAAAGCTCTACAAAATAGACTAAATTCAGTTTTGCGGACGACAAAAACAAAACCTATTCAGTCTTTTTCCGCTTTTTTAGTTTTACATCGTGCGCGTCAAGTGCTCAAACATGAGGCGAAATGCGAATTCTGGGTGGGCTGGATGAACCCTCTGCCGAGATCGCGCGCGTCGAGCGCTCAAACGTGAAGCGAAACGCGGAGATCGCGCGTCAGGCGCTCAAACGTGAGGCAAAATGCAAATGATCGACAGCAGTTTCCTGAAGGCAGATGGCAATGAAAGTGTGGAAGATCCAGCTGCGGTGATCGTGACTATGAGCCTACCTGCCAAGAACCTCGAGATGACCTATGCCGTGAAGAGCTTGAAGAGCTTCGTGTCACAGTTGGGACACGTTCACCTGGCCGTTAGAACTGATCGAGAACCATTGATCACCAACGTTGCAGAGAGATTGAGAGAGGAGTCGAATGCAGCCTTGCAAGAAGACACCAACAGCCCTCAGTCATTGGGAGCAGTTCTTCTGATGTCCTGACATGCTGGACGAGTCCAAAAGAACTAAGGTGAACCCGAGCAAGACTTTGTGGCCGCGCACGGCTTGCGCAAGATCAAGATATGAGGACAGCCTTTGAGGACGCCTTTGCACACCGCTATGACACACCAATTGTCGCACGCGGCGGGATGCGCTATTCCGGATGCCTACGTCTGCGAGCGGAAGAAGGGTGCAAAACCAACGACAGCTCAAGGGAGACTTCCAATGGAAAAAAGTCATCTTCCTCGGCAAGACCAATGAGTGCAACGAGTACCCCCTGGGAATGAAGAAGGGAGTCCGTCAGTGAAGCGACTTTGAGAAGACTTGAGATATTCAGCTGATTTGATTAACGTCAATTGGACAACTTAGAAGGCTATTGGTGGAGAAGAGACACCAGCGCCCAAAACACCAAAGCCCGCATTCCAGGAGAGCCAAAGCCAAAAGTCGTCACAGGCAAAGCCAGTGGAGGAGAACCTGGCAGCCATGAGAGAAAGGAGAGAGCACTTAAGACGCAGAAGAACCTCAAGAGAAGAGACCCAAGATCGCGGTGACTGATTCATCGGCAAGGGCGTATGACGAGGAGCTGAAGCCCTATTCTTCAAGCAGATCTTGGAATTCTTTGGCCTGCCCACGAAGGTCAACTTGTGGATGGACTCGAGCGCGGGTCAGGGCATTTCTCAACGCCGCGGTGTGGAAAGAGTTCGACGCCTCGAGGCAAAGTGCCTATGGGTGCAAGATGGTTTGAAGGAGAAGGCCTTCGAGCTAGGTGCAGCTCACACGTCAGAGGACTTGGCTGACATTGGGACAAAGACATTGAACGAAGCCACGCCGACCAAGCGCAGGCCAGGGATTGAGTTGATCTATCGCAAGCCTTGATCAAAGGCGCCAAGGTGAAAGAAGACCAGGACAACTTCCTCGCGACCATTTGCATCAAAAAAGGACTACAAGTGATGGATAGGGCGCAGAAGGGCCTATCTGCTGCACAACCTTGGCGAGCCGATGACATGCTGGACAGCGCCGTATGGCGATGGTGGCTCAAAGCTAGGAAATCGGGCAGCTGTGTACGTGACATGGCATGGTGTATACTCGTATACCGTGCAGCCCATTTGACAAATTGAGTAAAAAAGGGTCTCTCTGTGGTGCGCCACTTCGCTGAATTGTTTTGTTATAGTTTTTTGAGTTGTCTAAATACCTGGAATCCTAGGAACATGCAAGGTCTAACTTTGAGGTGTTCTTAAAGTGTTCCGCGAAGGGGAAAAGCATTGAAGCAACTAAGTATCTAGTTTTGGAGAACTTGGATTTTTTTATGTTTTCAAAATTTCTAGATACCTAGAAACCTAATTGCATGAAGGCTTAAAACTGAAGAGCCAAATTGTAGGGCTTGAAATATATAACTTGAACTTTTTGCAGTTGTTTGCAAGTAGAAAGCAAGTTCTACTTGTAGTGCAACACATGGAAAATCAGCGTGTATTGTTCTCCAAGGGGGCAAGCAAAGTTTTGTGTTCGTTTGGATGTTGCGGCTAGCAAACCTAATTTAACTCAGGGGGCACGGGCTGTGTTCGTGAGCGTATTATAAAAAAGACAATATATTTATATATTTACACATGCACAACAAATACCTTTGGAGCCTCCGACTTGTTGTTTCCAATTTTCGGGCGACGCAGCTTCTCACCAAGGCTACATTTGGTCGTTCTTGTTGGCGTGGGGGGTGTGAAACCTCAGCTAAGTGGATTCAAGCTGAGCAACAAGCGCATGGGTCAGTTTATTGTGCACAAATTGAATGAATAGCGCACTTGGCAACCCGTCCTTCTCGACGTCAGGAATAACCTTGTCATTCCAATCTCTTGCAAGAGATTCTGAGGTTCGAATGCAAATTGTGGACAGAGATCCATCTGTCACTGAGCATGTGATGAGCCTCGGCCAATCTATTGCATTTTGATAACTGTTTGCGCACTGTCAACACTGAGTTTGCTGCCCCGCATGCTGGCCTTCAGACAAGACCATAGCAATTGATAGCATGGGTTGAGGCAATACATGTTTGGGTATATATGATATCTTCATATAGTACCTTTAGGCTACAAATTTCAGCCGCCTGGTTAGACTTGCGGCCGAGTTTCGGATGTATGACTTTGGTGTCCTTCTTAGGCAAGGAGTCGTTGATCTCCGCGATTCGTCCTTAAACATCGTGGAGGAGGGCTTCACGTCTGGATTTGGTCCCTTGGCTGTTTGAATGCAATACACTTGTTGTGGTTTGGTTTTGTTACTTTCTGTTTCCATTTTGCACAGGCAATTTCTGTTTCTGTGCTGGTGTCCCAAGTACAGAGAGGGACACTTCGAGCACGAGCTCACCTGGCTCAGTGGCGTCTTCGGGTTCGTCTTAGAGATTGTTTGCAAAAGGTGTGGTTTGCTTCAACAGGAAAAACACCTTCTCTTGTTTGGAGCCTTTTTGGCTCCTTATCATTGCCTACGTTTCTTGAGACTACGTTTCTTGAGAGCTATCCAGATGCTGTTTCCGACCAAGTTGGAACCTGTAGAGTCTTTTGAATGACTTTTGCTGCCGGGAGAGACCATGAAATGCTGGTCTGGTTGAATCTGAGCTGCTGCTCGTCAACTACCTGGCAGTGATGCAGATGGCAGATGTATTTCATCCGGCATCAAAACAGTCCTGCATTTTGGAGATTACTGACCGCTTGTTAAACCCTGCAATCTCTCCACCCGGCAAGCCCTGTACTTTGAGAAGGGCTCCAACCTGTGATTCCATTATGTTGTACTCAGGCCCGTGTTTACACTTAATATCTTCTACGATTGTGATGGACTCAGTTTTCCTTGAAGCTGGCCTTGCACTTGGAGCTTAGAAACTGACATGACGTGTACTGTAATCTTCATGGCTTGTGAGTCTGTCCGTGGTGCCATGGATCTCGTTTGCCAGATATGTTGACGGTTGCCTTAAACATCCCCAAACAAAATGAGGAGTTTGCTGTTTGAGGCTGCTGTTGTGGGCACCACGTGCCACATGCCCTTTGATGTGGTACTCACTGTGTGCCCTATGGCCCGTCTGAATCACAAGTTGGCTCAATCTCCACCCGTCATGCTTGTCACTGGTTCATTGCACAGTAGTTGCTACAACCACAACTGCCAGGTACCAGAGCGCACACAGCTTGGGTGGCGAGCGCTTGGCTCGCTATGGTCGCCACGGGCCATTGGGCTGTGCAATGGCCTTGGTCCAAGAGCCGGGCGCCAAGATTCTTCATGTTCGTGCTTTGCATTGGAAAATTGGAATTTTGCCAAATCAGAAGCACCACAATGTTGTCACCGTGTCAGGCGCAGAATGTTCATCTAGAAACCTATTTATTGATTTAGTTATTTGTATTTGTTCTTCTCGTGTCTTCTCCAGTGCAAAGAGGTGCGTCTAGGAAAACATCTCCGGCAATGTGCGGGAGGGAGTGGAAGCACGGGCTTTGCGGAACCTGACAGTAAGTTCAAGTGACCCATTCTGGATCTTGACTGTGTGCACTCTGCCACATGTCCAAAGCGGACCATGGTATGCATCACAACGGGCCAAGATGCAAGTAGCTCTTCCATCCTGCCGGTGATGTCCCCCTGGCCATCCAAGAGTTCCTGAATGACTTGCATCCTGGGCTTCTTGTCTCGGAAGCAGGTGGTGCAGCCTCTGCACTTGCCCACTGTGGAAAGGCACCCATTGGTGGCCTGACGTGTAGGGCTGAGTCAAGCATTCTTGAGGAGGTTCTTCTTCGGTATTCCTTGGCAGCACGCCAGAACGACAGGTTTGTTTGTTGTCCGGATGGAGCTGGTGGTGCAAACGAACTTAACACAGCATCAGCATGAAGAGAGCCTGCACCATGGCATAGTCTTCAAAATCCAAGCCCTGGGAGAGGTCAGTAAAGTGGTCGGTGGCCATGATGGGGTTCCAAGATTTCTAAGCCTGCGCATCCGAGAGGCAAGCCCTGCTGCTGAGTCGGAAACAGCTTGCTTGCATCCCTCGGGCATTCACCTCTTTGAACAAGGTCAGCTTGTCGTCAGCGAAGCCACAGCCAAAGTCCAAGATGGCGAAGCCTGGGCTGCTGACCAACAAAATCTATTGCTCCTCTGAATCAACTGCGGCTGCTGTGCAAATAGAATGCTCTGAAACAGGCTCTAGGACCTGCACTGCACCAGCCGCATCGAACCAGGCGCGCTTGACGATGCTGGGGCCTTGCGCGCCCAATCTTTCCACAGCGACGACATCTTGTCCCTCCTCCAATTGCACTCTGAACAATTGGCGGTTCCTTTCCACCAGAGCTTTGACAGTGGGTGTCATGTTGAACAGTCGAACAGTCGTGCGAGTTTTTTGGACTTGATTCTCAGCTCAACTCTGCGTTCTTTCAATGATGCAGCCTGCAGCCAGAATCTCCGCTGCATCCTCCTCCGCCTCCTCCTCCTCGAACCCCTCCAGCCCGGCTTCACCAAGACCAGATTCTTCATGGCCGCGCTCCGCCGAAAACAGCTCCAGCTCGACATCTTGAAAGGTGTCGTCGCCAGAATGAGAGGCAGCGTCTTCTTGATTCTCCTCAACAAGGTGTGCAGCGACAGTTCTCTTCTTTCTCCGGAAAACAGGAGCGCATCAGCTGGAGAGCTCATTCAACTGGCTCGATCAGTTTCATTCATTCCAGAGCTGTTCACAAGGACCTGGCCTCCTTGGAAAGTCTTCCGAGCTTGGGCGCGCATGACGGATGGTTTCACCTTCCGTTGCCTTCAAGGCAAACGCGGCAGCGATGGTGTTCTCTCTAATCTCGTCTGTCCTGTACAGCCGGCCAACGCTGGTCAAGCAGGTCAAACAAGACCTTGTCTCCCCCCTTCACCTGCATGGTACAGTCGGGCTCCTTCAAGTGTTCTACCACTTCGCTCAAGTCCTCAGCCAGCATCATCGCCGGATAAATACCTGAGGGCGCCACTACACAGCACTCGGTCTCCTGCAGCGTCCTGCTACCAAGGAGGCCGGTGATTGTTCGCCTGCTCCACTACCAATGTTGGTGGCCCAACCTTCACCGAGCGCACTCCACACGCTCCTTTGTCTCTGCTCAGGCGTAAAAGTCCCTGCAGCACGATCGATTATTGACATAATTATGTATTATATATATATAAGTATATGCGAATAATTTGAGCACATGGGCTTAAAATTTCAAAAGCAGGCGTGAAATGAACATACTGAACTCGCGTTGGGCAGTTTGGTTTGGCAGGACATGTTGCAACGGCCTTTTTTGTACCACTCCATTGCCAGGTCTGGACCCTTGGTTTTGCTCCGTGGATGGGTGCCTGCTTTCCTCCGTCTTCTTCCAGTGCCAACGGCTCAATGGATTTAGTAGTCAGTCCATTCTAGCGCTACATGAACGTGCCTCTCGTGAGGACCCTGTTTTCCTTTGGACTTTATGAGCAGCTGCGACAGCTATTTGGAATTGGTTACATGGACTGAGTGCAAGCGGACTTGTCACAATGGCAATTGAGTTTCACTCATTCTGCGCGTTTCCTCAGATCTCCGGTCTGACTGGTATGTTTCACTTGCACGGTTACACAAAACGGGGGTTTGTATTACAAACCTTCTTTGTCCCTGTGACGCATGACAGTGACCTTCCCGGTTCCTGACTGGGATCGCAATGGCAACAAAACTGACAAGCCAATGACCATCTTGCCTATCACAAAATGTTGTTTTAGATGAACATCATTGTTTTACACAGGTGTTGTCCGTTTCTTTGGGTTTTGAACTGTTTGGAATTTCACAAGATGCACCTCTGATGTAGTGGGTCACTTGGTGGCACCTCTTCCAGTTTGTTCGCCAAAAACGTTTTGTTCCCAACTCCTTCAAGACAAAAATCTCCCTGGCAGCGTATTGGGGTGCAGGATTTGTCACCCAGTTTATCTCCCTCACAGCCAGTCTGCCAACAACGGGTAGCACGTTTGCAGCATCGAGGTAAAAACCTCCCAATTGAATTGGATAACGCATTGCCACAGGACTTTGACAGCGCTTTGCAACCCCCTTCTGGCCTGCTACATTGTCCAACAGTCCGGCAAGATTAAACAAGCTTTTGGAATGGTCTGAGAAGGGGCTGCCCTGTTTTGGTTGCTGGATATGTAGTGTGCGTGGAACCACTGCAAGGACACGGCGCGAACCCCCTCGTGTGTAAGGTTGGTGGACGGCCGCTCCCAGGGAAGTGGGTTCTAGGAGGAAGACGCTGACGCAAAGGATTGTTGGGCTGTGAGGGGAGCAAGCTGTTTGACAGATTTTCTGAGGCCGGAAGCATGAGGAACTGGCCCCACCGGCGACGATGTCGACCAAATTTGGGAAAGTAAGAATCGTTGGGGGTGGGGCGAGGGGAGCAAGCGTACAATTCCTGCTTGCCAGTTCTGCTGCACAAAGCACAATATACAAGCTCCTTTGTTTCTTCTAGAAAGCAAGAATACCAGGGCACCATTTATTTGCTCCGAATGTGACAGGTTATAGGATGCTATAAGTTATAGGTATTTATAGGTTAAAACCTCCCCAATTGTATAAGCCATTGCAAGATGCAGATTGCAAACGCCTTTGACAGCGATCTGTTCAAGTTGCGGTGTTGTTTACTGTTGGGTTGCCGACGATGGGCAGGTGAGGCTTCCACATGTTTGCTTGGAAGCTGAGTTTTTACATGTCTCCTCTTCTTGTGTGCAGCTTTTAAGCTTTTTTTGCTTGTGATAGAGTTGCAAGAAGGATTTTCTTAGCATGTTGTACAGTCCAAACCATATCCAGCCCCCAAGCAGATCAGATACACACTGGGTGAGTTTGCGTGTCAGGGACATATGCATATTTCTGTGCATTTGTGTCCGAGATGGAGTTGCTGCTGGGGCAAAAGGTCTTGCATGGAGGCAATGAAGTCGCTACAGGGTCTCTGCATGGAGTCATTGGAGTCTACTTTTCAGCGCACTGGTGCGGTCCATGTCGAAGCTTTACACCACAATTCCGAAAGGTATACGAGCGCGCCAAGTTGAAAGGAAAGGCGTTTGAGGTCGTGTTCGTCTCGAGTGACCATGATGAGAACTCATTCAAGGAGTATTTCTCCACAATGCCATGGCACGCCGTTCCATTTGCTGATCGCAGCCGACAGCAACAGCTGTCCAGCCTTTTCCAGGTACGGGGTATACCATTTCTAGGCTTGCTGGATGCCAAAGGTCAGGTGCTGGATTGGAATGCTCGGAGCAAAGTAATGGAGCCTGGATTCATCTCAACTTTACCACGCTCGGTAGACCTCAAAGCTGTGGAGCTTCCACAGCCTTGTGGCCCAGTGGCGATCCTTATTCGCTATTTTGGCAAAGAGTTCGAAATTGAATGCGAGCCCAGTTTCTTGGAACAAGAAGTACGTCGCACTAGTTCAGCGGTTTGTGATTTGAATGTTGACAATATGTTCGGCTCGAAGCTCTTGCGCAAAGGTGAAGGTTGGGAGATGCTTCGGATGCAAATCTACTCAATGACTGAAGTGCCTCCTGAGCAAATGAAGCTTTTTGGTCTGGGGCTCGACGCAGGCATGCTGATGGGCGGAGATCGTATGTTTCGTTTGTCCACACTTTCAAAGATCCTTTCCCAGAGAACCCAGAAGCACCTCCGTGTAAAACATGGTTTGATTCACGAGGAATACTCAGGAACGCGCTGTTGATTTCGCTTTTCCTGTACAAGCAGTTCCCGGGCAAGCCGGCGGCGGAAGTTTCCTATAAGAACAAATTGACCTATAGGAGTGTCCACGTTCTCTCCAACATGCGCGTCCTCCAGTCAAACGCACGCGCTCCGGACTTTTGACCCACGGGATTCCACGCGTGTAAGGCGTGTGCCCCCTGCAGGATCAGCAGCTCACAACAGCGTACTGGGTTGTATCTTTGCCACGACAAGATCAGCAGCCCACAACTCTACAAAGTGTCCAGTTCTCAGCTTCCAGCTCCACAGGTTGTTCCGCGTGCTAAAGTTGTCCTAGACAGTCGCCAGTCAGTTCTCATCTTCCAGCTCCCCAGATGCTCCGCGTACTGCAGTTGTACTACACAGTCGCCAGTTCTCAGCTTCTAGCTGCACAGATTGCTCCGCGTACTAAAGTTGTACTACAAAGTCGCCAGTTCTCAGCTTCCAGCTCTACAGATTGCTCCGCGTACTAACGTTGTACTCGAAAGTCGCCAGTTCTCAGCTTCCAGCTCTACAGATTGCTCCGCGTACTAAAGTTGTACTACAAAGTCGCCAGTTCTCAGCTTCCAGCTCTACAGCTTGCTCCGCGTACTACAGTTGTACTACACAGTCGCCAGTTCTCAGCTTCCAGCTCTACAGATTGCTCCGCGTACTAAAGTTGTACTCCGCGTACTAAAGTTGTACTACAAAGTCGCCAGTTCTCATCGTCCAGCTCGCCAGATACTCCGCGTACTAAAGTTGTATACAAAGTCGCCAGTTCTCACCATCCAGCTCCACAGATACTCCGCGTACTAAAGTTGTACTACAAAGTCGCCAGTTCTCAGCTTCCAGCTCTACAGATTGCTCCGCGTACTCAAGTTGTACTAGAAAGTCGCCAGTTCTCACCATCCAGCTCCACAGATACTCCGCGTAGTACAGTTGTACTACAAAGTCGCCAGTTCTCCTCGTCCAGCTCGCCAATTACTCCGTGTACTAAAGTTGTACTACAATGTCGCCAGTTCTCAGCTTCCAGCTCACAAATTGCTCCGCGTACTAAAGTTGCACTACAAAGTCGCCAGTTCTCAGCTTCCAGCTCCCCAGATGCTGCGCCTGCCACGAAATCTGCACATGGAGGTTCACAAAGTGCTGCGCCTGCCACGAAATCTCCACATGGAGGTTCACAAAGTGCTGCGCCTGCCACGAAATCTCCACATGGAGGTTCAGAAAGTGCTGCGCCTGCCATGAAATCTGCGCATGGAGGTTCACAAAGTGCTGCGCCTGCCACGAAATCTGCACATGGAGGTTCACAAAGTGCTGTGCCTGCCACGAAATCTGCACATGGAGGTTCACAAAGTGCTGCGCCTGCCACGAAATCTGCACATGGAGGTTCACAAAGTGCTGCACCTACCACGAAATCTGCGCATGGAGGTTCACAAAGTGCTGTGCCTGCCACGAAATCTCCACATTGAGGTTCACAAAGTGCTGCGCCTGCCACGAAATCTGTACATGGAGGTTCACAAAGTTCTGCACCTGAAACGAAATCTGCACACGGAGGCTCACAAAGCGCTGTGCCTGCCACGAAATCTGCACATGGAGGTTCACAAAGCGCTGTGCCTGTCACGAAATCTGCACATGGAGGTTCACAAAGCGCTGCACCTGCCACGAAATCTGCGCATGGAGGTTCACAAAGTGCTGCGCCTGCCACGAAATCTGCTCGTGGAGGTTCACAAAGTGCTGTGCCTGCTACGAAATCTGCGCATGGAGGTTCACAAAGCGCTGCACCTGCCACGAAATTTGCACATGAGGGTTCACAAAGTGCTGTGCCTGCTACGAAATCTGCACCTCGAAGTTCACAAAGCGCTGCACCTGCCACGAAATCTGCACATGCAGGTTCACAAAGTGCTGCGCCTGCCACGAAATCTGCACTTCAAGAGACAAGTGAAAACTCTAACCACAATGGAGGGACGATTCGAGCATGATCCGACCAGGACCCGAGACCGTCTCGCAACCCGTTCCGCAGAGCTAGGTTCAAAGCCGCCGGTTCTATTGAAAAATACAGCATTTCGTACGTCCGCTATCTCTCGAAAACGCATTTTGTATTGCACCTGCCGCGAACTCTGCACATGGAGGTTCACAAATTGTTGCACCTGCCACGAAATCTGCACATGGAGGTTCACAAAGTGTTGTGCCTGCCACGAAATCTGCACATGGAGGTTCACAAAGTGCTGCACCTGCCACGAAATCTGCACATGGCCTGCCACGAAATCTGCACTTCAAGAGACAAGTGAAAACTCTAACCACAATGGAG